TAATGTTTTTATTAGCCAAAATCAATGCTGAAAAGTCCGTTCATATTCGACAAAGGGTGGCTGAACACAAAAGTGTCTGGGATCAAATAGCTGAGGTAGCGGGACACAGGACAGAAACCGCAAATGGAATTAAATGATTTCAAGCTTTTATTTTTTCAAATTATGATATGCCTACAGCTGAAAGCACAATTATATACTTCATTAATCATCATTAAATTGGGCAATACGTTAAATGTCAGGAATTCCAGTAAAATGTGAAATAAGGACTAATTGTGCTCAATTGAGCTGACTGAAAAAAGGAGGTGATTTAATTGGTTTTTTCTTGTAGTGCTTCTAATTACGGTCACTTTTTCTATACTTGGTAGTTTACTTTCCTTTCCCTCACGCAAAAAAGAGCTTATCAAATTAACTAGAAGTGTGTCCGACATTGCGCCATCAAAGTGAGTTGGTCATAAAGTATGTTGACAGAGGGTAGATGTAAGATTCTGCTTAATTACTTCAAACTGACACTCCTGATTTCGTTCCTATACACACACATAAAGGCGCATAAGCACATACAAGCAAACACATGCACATGTTTCTAGCTTGGCATATGACTTAAAGTAACCAAAACATTGGGTACCTCATCAATGCGTACAGATCTAGTGTTTACATGTACAGCCGTTAGAGATTAACCGGTGCGATTTATTGATTTGTTAAGTTGAATATATTCATAATAATGATGATGTCCGTCACATGACGAAAAAAGCATGGCAGATGTTCAGCGAAATCAAAGGAGATTAATTTGGAAATAGCGGCAGTGTAAATCCTCCATGAAAGCCACTTGTAATCGTCTTTTGGTGGGATCAACTCTTTAATCGCTTTATTGCACACTTTCAGTTGAAATGGAATCGGACTCAATAATCACATAACATTGTTGGTGATTAGCGTTTTCCAATTTAACTCCACCATTTGCATTCAGCCACAAATTTGTCGTCGGTTGCGGAAATTGTTACACATTCATATTCATGTCTCTTCACAGCGGGGCTGGCGAAGCTTAAGCACCACAGGAAGAGAGGATGTCGGATCTGGCTTCCTTGGCGTAATTGTCCTGGCCGGTTCAAGTCACCATCTCTGCCGGCTTGTCTCAAAGGTCGACTTCGTGGCATCAAAGCGTCTTGCAGCTATCGCTCATTAATGCTCGCCATTGTTAGTTATAGTTCGCCATATTTCGGTACCACATAGTATCGTTCATACCCTTTCCATATTATGCGGTTCTGTTTGGTATCGATCGGTGCCGTGTGGTATGGTTCGGTATTGTTCGGCATCATTGCGTCTCGTTCCGTATCGTTCTGCATCGTTTGATAACATTTAATATCGCTTGCTATCGTCCCGTATTGTTCGAGTCCGAGCATAACCTGTCTGTTGCAATTTGGCACCTTTTCATATCGTTCGGTACCATTCGGTATCATTCTACATCTCTCCGTACCGTTCCGTGTTGTTTTGCGCCGTTCGGCACCGGTCAGCATCGTCTTTTATCGTTCCGTGTCGTTCGGCACCGTACCTTTCTGCCCAGTTCTGTCTTTGCTCTCCTCTCGCGTCGCCGCGGCTCGTGTGTATCGATGATCAATTCTCGCGGTTGCCGAGCTGGATCGAGTCGAAAGCGGACTTTGTGTCATCTGGAGCCCAGCAACCGGGCCAAGGCTCTACTCAAAGCTGTACCCGCTGCGGTCGCCTGGCTCGCCACCTCCGGTCAACACATTGTGCTCACCCTTCCACTCCACTTCACCAGCCACCGCCAGGCCAGTCACGCGTCGTCAACGGCCCGTTGCCATGCCGTACACATGCAGCTGGCTCCAAGCCTCGCATCCTGTCACCTGAGCACGTTCGCTCTACCCCAACTTTGCATCACACCCTCTACGTCTTGTTCCTTAAAATGGGCCTTCAAACTGTATAGTAAAGAGTACACCTGCCTTTAACAACCACACGTAAAGTTGGCACTTGTCTAGCCTTCGTTTCGGTAGCGGTTCGCTCTCAGGTGGACACATCCGCAAGCCTGTGT